AGCATGCATCATGTAAAGAATGTTCTACTTGTCTAATGAATGTTTAATGGATACACATATACATTTATATATATATGTATGTCATTTTTCGAATGTTGAACAATATCTATGAAGAATCTGATAAATTGATCAGTTTTTTCTTTTTAATTTTGTTCGTCTGAAAAATTATTAACATTTAAATTATTAAATTATAAGCAAGACAAAAGTATTGAAATGAAAGAAACGCGCAATTATCGATGTAAAATCGATAAAATACAAGAAAGATTGGCTTAGATGCGTAGTTTTCAACATGTAAAATGATTATTTCAATATCGCAACATTTATTTACTTGTATAACGAGAGTATGCGTGAAACATGAAAGTTTATCGATAGTCTTATTACTGGAATTGCGCCATGCATTTGCCGAGAGAAGAAAACATTAATACAGATCAAGAAATTTAATATTACAATTCTGATGACATGCTAAATATTAAGTGAAATTATTAAAATTCTATCAGGGTATCGAATGTCAAAAATGTGGACAGATTAAAATCAGAAAAATATTATAAAAATCCTCAAGAAACCTCAAGTTCAATTGGAGGATGGTTGAATGATCTGAATTAAATGATCTGAAAATACATAAAAAATATTATTAAAAAAATTAAAAAATCATTCTGAGCGATTTCGAGTATATTTAATCATATTTATGCATCAAGTTTTTTTTTTTATCTAGAATTGTAAATCGTTTTCTTCATTTTAATTTGCCCGTCCACACGCGCAATAGATTTTTCAAGTTTTTATATATATTTATATTTATTTTCGCAAAAGGAATTGCTATATAAAAAAAGCTTTTTCAGCTATTTCAAGATACTATATAATTTTAACTCCTCGATGACAGATACTAAATAATTTTATTAACATTATTATATATTTAAATAATCGTGTATTATTTTTAATGTCATAATTATATATCGATTGTGTGTTCATGCGAGCATAAGATCGTAGTTTTGCGAAAGATATATTTCTATTCCCGATTATATCTTATATAAAAAACTGCATCATTTTGCACAAATTCAGAGCGAGTTGGCGATATCGCTTTAGTGCACGTAATGATATATACGTTCTAAACTGAATTTAGATTTTATATATGTATACGCTTGTATAAAAATATCTCGAGATGCAAAACAAAAAGAAAATAAAACAAGAAAAAAATGCATTTTAAACTATATACAGAGGCAAAAAAGAGAAAAGAAAGAAATAATTATTATAATGTACTTAACAGTTTTGTTTCATGTTGTAGCGTAATACAGACGTGCACATACGTATTAATATACATATAGATATATTATATACATAGAATTATATATTAGATATGTCGATATACATATATGTCAAAACTCGTTTCCAGCTGGTCTGATCGGGTATTACTTTAACGATTTAATTAATTGCGTTAACCTGGCAGCGATGCGATTGCGAGTGAATCATTGAAAGAGGTGCAATCACATAGTTCAATTGTATAGCGTATCTATTTGTCGTTTCGATGACAGATCCGATGATCTGTAGTTCATCGGCAATGAAAGTAAAATGGAATAATGGTTGATATTTCTGTTATTCAATTCATAGAAATAATTATATACGATTATTATAATCGGAAAATTAGCATCGTTTATGCGTCAAATGATTATTGAGGAGATTGGCATATGAAATCTCTTTATTTAATTTTAATTCATTGTATGTGTCATAAAATATTGATATATGAAAAAATACAAGCTCAATCAGCTATTCTATTAATTATGTATTTCGTATTTATTATATTTATTCAAAAAAATTCTAAACAGATACATAACACACACGAGCACTGGCACACGCAATTTACTATAGTCTGAATAAATGGTATCTGAATAAATTGATTCACTAGTTTTTCTTAATGTTATTTAATTAATTAAAATAATTTTATTTATTTATTTATTTATTTTTTACCATTATTTGGGAACATTAAACATTACAAATATCAAAAAGAGCAAAATTTAAAATACGTACAATGAAAAATTATATTGTGCTTATTCGTGCTCGATTAGATAGTGATATGTAGAAATATACTTTTTTTACAGCATCACTGCCGGATTAAGTAGTATTACAATTTTTTCAATAAGCCTATTAAATACCTATTAAGTTATCCCATAAATAATACTATTTTTTCTGTACGTGATATATTGTATATTACGTGAAAATAAACAACTATCTATCAATAATTAATCAATAATATATTTTCTATTATTTTCTACAATTTTTTATTATTTTCCCACTAAATTTTGTTTTTTCATAGAACTTCTTGTCATAATTAATTCCATTGCTTTAAATATAGAAAAACTGTATTACTTATGGGATTACTTAATAATTTATTAATTTGCACACTAAAAAACATCATTTAATTGATATTTTTAATTCACCATACAAATTTATTTTTATGTACTTTTGCTCTCTTATATATTCATTTAATATTTGCAATAGTATATGATTAAATAATTTTTCATACTGCTATCATTGTGATCAATTATTTATTTACATATTTAATCATGAGTTTATATTCAAGAGCAAACAAATATTAGACTACAATGTACTATAAATAGATAATATAATAAAAATGAATACATAATAAATGAAAAGATTTGTATATAGTATTAATTCACATGGAATTCCTTTGATTCTTTTTTATTTTTTACGTACACTGTATAAAACATTTATATTTATAAATTATATTTATAACAAATTTTATATACAATTAATTATTTTAAATTATTCTGAGATTGATTTTTAACTAGATGTATGAAAGTTAAAGCTGTTAATAGAGACCATCCTATTTGTTCTTTTTCTTCTGCAATTTTTTTTATATATTTTTGTTTTATTTCATTATTTATAGATATTTGTATCTGTTTTAAATTTTCATCTGATTCATCAGTTTTATTTAACATTTTCTCCAAAATATATTTTGCTGCAATTGTTTCATTACCAATTCTAAGTTTAAAGAATTGTGCTGTTGATCGAGATTTTAATATGTACAAATTATTATAGAATTTTGATGAATTATTTTTTTCTGAAAATTTTTATTTATAATAGTATTATTTTATTATTAATAGTATTATTAATAGCAACATTATTAATAATATTGTAAACATACCTTGATATGATAATAATTTAAGACAACTTGCAATACCAATTATTATTTGAAATTGATAACATAACATTTTTGCCATGTCAATTTCTTCTATTACAAAAGTGAAAGCATTATTAAATAATGATAATTCTTGTACAAAAGATGATGTCTATATCATAAAACAATAATTATTAAATAAAATATTTATCTTAAACTTGAAATATTAAATTTAAAATATTTACCAAACTAATTATATCATAAATTGTAATTTTTGAAATTTTATTTCTCCAAACAAAACAATCCCAATTTAGTATATGAAAATTAGAATTTAATAATGTCCAACTTATTGCATTAGGTCCCACATTTATTCCCAATATCATTTGTGGCATCTGAAATAATTTAGATTTTTATTAATAATATTATTATATATTGTTAAAAATAATATAAATATATGAATATTTTTTATACTTCTATTCCATTAATATCTGGTGTTACAATAAATTGGTTGATTTTTTTGGAGGATATTTTTTTATGATTGAGTATTGAATTATAAAATTTATTCAAAATATCTTCATTTATATTAGTCTTTATTAATAAATCATTTAATGATGAATAAGGTCCATTTTTAGTATAGCATGATATTATTGTTTCAGCATATGTTGGTTGAATATATCTATATATTATATAAAATAATATAGATAATAAATAGACTTAATATATTCTATTAGACTATACTAATTTATATAATATTTATTATATATTTACCTTGTTAATTTTTTAAAATTATTATTATTTATTATTTGTAAAATTTTATTTTCATATTTCATAAAATTTTGTAAATTAGTTTTTTGAACATTTACTGTTGAATATTTTTGTAATAAACAAATTTGTAAATTCTGTAATAATAAATCATATTATATTTTTTCTATATTTTCTCTAAATAAAATAATATATAAGTATATATATATTTAAAAAAAAAAAATCTAACCTAATAAAACAGATTATTTATTTATGTAAAAAAATATTTGACAAATTTTATTAATATATAATACCTTTTTTATTTTAGATATATGTAATTTACATAATGTTTTTAACATGATTATTTAGTTTTTACATTCGTATATACAATTATATATCGATATTAGTACTATACGATATTAATACTTTACGAACTATACGACTTCAATTAAAATATTCAATTAAAAATATTTCTTCAAAAATTAATATTTTGCCATTATATATTATATTTACAGATATAATACGGAAAAAATATTAAAATTATTGAAGATTAAATATTAATAGATATTAACATAATTAATAAAAATATTTTATATTTTTCTTATTTCTCATTCTAATAAATATCTATTTGTAAAATTATTTGAAAACAAATATATTATATGTTAATTGAATAATTATTTATTAAAATATAAATAATATATAAATTTATTAAACATTATTATTAAACAATTATAAATATTATTTCTAATTTCGAGCATATTTTATTTCACTTATTATTCACATATTATATATATATTATATATTCAAATTATTTACAAAAAATTTAAATCACATTTTTATATAATTTTAATTGAAATATATAAGATTATAAAATATTTTATTTGTTCATTGTTATATTATCTTAATATTTATCTTTAATTAATTGTAAATTTTATTCATAACTAAATTAAATTAACTAAATAAATGATTTTCAATTTTTTTAATTAGTTTTAAAAATATATAATGGTGAGTTTAAATTAAAATACTATACAAATACTTGTGTTATTTATGTATTACTTACTAATCTTATATCTTACTTATTTATGACTAACGTCGAAATTCAAAATGTTTGATTTTAAAGTAAATACTTTGAATATTAAAACTTTCAATATTTTAATATAATTCTCATTTTAATAATTTTTTAATAAAAAAGTATAATTTGTTTCGATCAAAATGTCGAGTTACTCTATAGGACGTAGATCATCTACGAATCCTGTAAGAATATCTCTACTTGATAGAGAAGATAAAAGCTTAACAAGAACAGAATCTAGAAGAACACAAACATTAAAACCAAAAAATTCTATTTCTTCAGTTGAAAATTCTCATATTCCAAGACCTCGAATTCGGGCTTCTTCTTGTGATAGAATAAATATCAAAGGATCATTATTAAAACCAACAGGTAAAAATTTGATGTATTTATTTTTTGTTTAAAATATTATAAACATTTTAAATGTAAAATATTTATTACTTATTACTGAGATAAAACTCTATTTGTAGGTAAAACTTCATTTTGTCATGTACCAACAACTCCAAATACACCAAATATTGGCAAATTTTCCAATCATCATACAATTGGAAGTTCAAATAAAATTCATGCAGGACTTCCTACAGGCCGTAGATCTTTATCAGCTGATCGTGCTAGCAATATTGGTGCAAAAGGTTCTAGGAAGGACACAAGACCTTTAACAGACAAGACATATCAGACTTATATGCTTAATAAAATTGATAATTTTCTTTCTATAAATCATTGTTCTTCGATGGTTAATACTAATAACAGTTTTAAACCAGTTACTTTGAAAATGTTTGTTGAAGTTTCTGCATATTTATTAAAAATATTAGATATTAAACAAATTCTAACAATTTCTAATTATGTGGAAGAATTACCAAAAATTGCAAAAAAACTGCATTATCCAGGAATAATTAACAAATCTTGGTTAAAAACTGCTAATGCTATGCATTCCTGGCCAAATGTTTTGGGTTGGATATGCTGGTTAGTAGAAATTTGTGAAATAAAAAAGATAGCTCTTGAGAAATATAATTTAAATAATTTATCATTTATGGGAAATGAACAGGAAGCTAAAATTAATAAAAATGCTTTTTTTTCAATGTTGAATTTTTATAATGCCTGGAATGATGAGAAACTTGATGAGGAAGCATCAATGGTAGAAAAATATTTACAAGAAATTGAAGAACAACAAGGTATAAGTGAAGAAAATTTGAATAATGCACGTTCTGAATTAGAAAAAGAAATGCTTAAACAGCAGGAAGCTGAAGAAAATTTAAATAAAATAAACGAAGAAGTTAAACATCTACAGGAAGTATTCTTATCTTTGCAAAATGATGAAACAAAGCAATTGAGTGATATCAGTGCAAAAGAAGAATATATAAAAACAATTAATTTTGAAACAGATCAATTAAATGCTGAATGTAATATATTGAGTGAACAAATTTGTTTACAAAAAAAACAGTATGATGAATTACTTTCTACAATTAAACAACAACCAATGTCCAAAATAGAAAGGGATAAAATTTTAGAAAAATGTACGGAAATTCAAAATTATATACATCAGTTTGATGAACACTTAAAAGAAATACAAAAAGAATTATATACAATGGATATTAAATTGGCATTTAATAATAATGAAATAACTAAATCAGTACTAACATATAATAATGAAATATTTATGCATTTTAGTGGTAATATAGATATAAATTTAGAAGAATTAAAGATGCCAGAAAAAGGTATATTAAAACCTGAAATTATGGAAATATTAAAAGTTAAAGCTAATTTAATGAATGATTTGAAAGAATTATTGAAATCAGAAATTATTGAAAAAGAACGTTCATCAGAAACAAATTTTAATGAATTAGAAAATTTACAGGAGAAAATGAAAACTTTAGAAGATGAAAATAGTGACATTATTAATAAAATTAAAGAAAAAAAAAATCTTATAAATAAAATTAAAACTGATGCAAAACACGAAGAAACAAAATTAAGAGAACAAATAAAGAAATTGCAAAATGAAATTAAGGAAATTCAAGATTCAATGCCAAATACACAAGAACTTGCTGCAGAATTAGAAGAAACAGAAGATAAATTAGATGCAGTTCAGAGAAGAAAAGCATATATAGAGGAATCTGCTAAGCTATTTTTTGATAAGTTTTATGAGACATTAGGAGAGCACAGAAATGAAGTTTCTAATATATTAATAAAACTTAATAATAAGTAAAATAATATATAATAATTTTTATATAAGGTTGCAATATTTTAAATGTGATTTTCACATAAAAATTTAATCTATATACTATTAAAGTAAATTTTTTAATTGTATATATATATATATGTATTCAAAATATTTAAATTATATATAATACGTAATTTAAATAAATTATTATATTACTATCCTATATTATTGTAAAAATTAAATCTTTTTATTTTGACTAAATTTATATAATTGATAATTCTATATATTTAATTTAAATTTTTTATACAGTTTTAATATATTTAATATAATATAATTGGAAAGAATGGAAAATTATAAAAATAATAGAATTTAGATTTGTTTGAATTGCAATGCGGAAACCGGAAATTCGAATTATTTCGAAATATGCATCTGTATGATTTAAATCATTTTTATACGATAAGTTAAAAAAAAAATTGCAATTTCAAATCTGAAGTTGACTTTATACATATGAAATATAAAATATTTATTGAATTATATGATAAATACTTTTTATTAAAATTAAAAGAAAGGAAGCATATTAGATATTTTTATATTACATTTTCTACATAATACTGGAATATAATGATTGTTCAAAATTATTTAATTATACAAGATGATATATATATTGTAAATACCAGGATAAATATGTTGGTAAATATTATAATAAATTATAATAAGCATTTCGATATATAATAGAAATAAATTTACTAAAATACTAGGTTAGATGAATTTTGTCCATATTGATTGGAAACTAGTTGTCAGGTTTTAATATTTATTTAACATAAAAAACATATTTTTTTATTATTTTAGCATAATGAGCAACAAAATAAACGCTGCTAGTAAAAGTATTGCTATATCTAATAAAAATATATTGGAAAATAACCATTATTTGGTAATTTATAATTCAAGTATTTTTATGGTTATATATTTTTTTGTAATATAAATTTTAATTATATAATATAAATCTATAGCCTCCTTCTGGACTTTCTTCAGAAGGTCTTTGTGATTGTAATAAACAAATTGAAATAATTGTGAAAGCTAAAGGCCTTAAACGTAAATCAACAATGGTTATGAGCAATCCAACTAGTCATAAAAGTATAGAAGAAAAAAAAAGACCTGGTAATAGTGGTGATATCCACCAAAGCTGGGGTAAAGCTTTAATAGAACAAAATAAAGCAGTTATAAAACAAGGTTTGCAACAATTTCAGACAAAAACAACAGGTTCAAAATCATTGAAACATAGTAGTGAAACTAAAGAAATTAAGAAACATTCCTTAAATCATCAAAAACCAAATGTTAGTATTAGTTTTTATATTTCTTTAAACTATTTAATATGTTAATTTAATCATATTTTATTTCACAGCATAAACATTTAGATGAATTGCCTACTAAACAATCAGCTTCTCAAAAAAGGATAGAAGAACATATAAAATCTATACCACGAACTACAAATCCTTCAAGTACATCAATTCCAAGTACTGTGGAATCTATTATAGTTTATGATAAAGGTGTGCAATGTGATGGAACACTTGATTATTTTGATGATAGATTTGGTGTTTTTAATCCAGTTCGTACATTACATTTTTTAATAAAGGAATTAGAACATTTGGTTAAAGACGATAAAGCTAATAAGATTCTTGCTAATATGGAACAAGCATTATTAAGAATATCAATGGAACCTGATAAACTACCTATTGTGGTATGTTTATTAAAAATGATAAAAAAAATAATATTAAAAATTTGGTGTATTAAAATAATTATTTACAGCAGGAGTTAGAAACCAAATCAGAAACAACTAGACAAATGAGTTTAATGTGTGATGCATTACAAAATGAAAGAGATTCTTTAGTGAGGTATGTTTTTTTATTAAAAATATATTATAACAATCTCATTTTATATTTACTCAATTTATTTTAAATTAGACAAAATCAGGAAATATGCTCTTTATTGCACGAAAATCGTGAAAAGCAGTTAGATCTTGAAAAAACTGTAAAAACATTAAAACAAGAACTAGAAGAAACTGTTAAAATCAGAGATAAAACGATAATTGAATTAAAAGAAAAGATTAAAAATTATGAATTTTCGCAAAAAATTATATCAGACTTAAGAACGAATCTCGCTGAACAAAAGGAACTTTTAAGTCAAAGATATTTAGAAGTACAATGTATAACTCTTGAAAAAGATAAATTCTCAGCTCTATCATTATATAAAGATTCTTTATTAAATGATCTTCGTAATCAAATCAAGTTAGTTGAATCATCATATTATCATTATATTAATTTTTGTAATTATATAACAATTAAATTTTTATTTTATTATCTTTATCTTTTAGGGAATTACAAAATTGTATCGCTGATCAATTATGTAATTTAAAAGATAGTTATATTCAAGAAGAATGTCCAAATCCACAAATTTCATTAGTACATGGAGGTCGTGTATGTTCATCACCTACTTCTACTTCTTCACGTGATTCAAATATACGTACCTCTTGGCATGATATATCCGATATTTCTTTATCCACGGATCACAATCCCTCTAAAATTAAAAATGTACAAGATTTATTACATATGTCAGATAAAATTCCAGCTTTTTTAGAAATCCAAAGCGAGACTTCACAAAATAAACGAACTAAGAATATTAAGGAAGCTTCAACCAAAGATTCCGCAAATTTAGACTTTATTAGTTTACCTGCTGGAGAATCTTCACTTACACTTTTACCTTCTTATAAAGATCTTGGCTGCACAGAGATCAGTAAATCTGGTAAATTCAATATATAAATATAATACACATATATCATTTTACACTAATAATTTAATATTTTTCTTTTTAGTTAACAAAGGGGATGGTGATGTAATAACATTTAGTAATAAAAAAAATGATAATTTAGATAATTTTAAAAGTACTAATAAAATACCATCATTGGAACATTTAAATTATTCTCTTCAAAAAAAAGAAACTGATATAAAAGAATCAAGTAGAATTAAAAAGTCTTTAGAATCAAATAAAGAAGAAAGTTCTGAAAAAAAATCTATTGTAAACGAAGATAATGCTAATACTTTAAAAGATAATTTGACTCATAATTTAATAAGCTCTACTATAACAGAACAATTTCAAAATATATTTCAAGATATAAGAATTCAAAGTAGAATGCCTGTTAAGGTACCCAGTCCACCAAGGAATTATCCTAATCCTGAATGGAGTGATAGTACTTTACCCAGTATCAGTACTGTTTCAGGGATATAAATGTGATATAAATTTTTTTCTCATTGACATTTTAAGCTTATATTAAATCTTTTGTAAAAGAATCTTATTGTGCAGTCATATTTTTTATCAAAATAGATGATTTTAAAAGATTTAAAAATTAAATTATATTTTTATAATTTCAACATGATATAATAGTATATTTTTAAATAATAATTTATAAAAAATATAGAAAATATATATTATATCAATTATATTGATTTCTAATTCAAAGTGTATTTTTCCTCTAATATATGTATATATTCATGTATAAATTTCATTTGTAAATTTAAAATTTATACAAATTAATATATTATCTATGAAAAAAAAAAAGAAAAAAAGATGATTTTAGATACAAATGTTATTAAAAGTTTATAGAGAAAGCCTCTAATGTTTGCATGTAATTTAAAAGTTACATGCATTATATAAGTTAAAAAACTCTCATAGGGTAACGGAAATATTAATATCAAAGTATATAATATACTGTTTTTAATTTTGTATTGTGAGGCAAAATAAAAATGTTTCGTATTAAGTTAATTTAATGAACAATTTTAATAAATAAAATAAGAAATTGACTTGTAATAAATAATACGTGTGTTATTTTTCGTATTTCTACTTTGCTTAATATTAATAATATTAATATTAAAAATAATTACAAGGTCACAATATAAATATGACATGAAAAACCAGGTGTATATATATATATATTTTTTATCACATATGTATATATACAAGTAAAGTATAATACTTATATTTTGTAAGTCTTAATAGGATTAAAAGGGAACATTTTAGTACACGTAAAACATTCATCAATTTTGCACAAAGACGCTTGAAATACATATACATGTTTCCCATTAAGCGTGTATATGTGTACTCTTTCTTTACGAAAAATTCGATCTTTTTTTTTATTATGATTATTTTTTTTCTAGGGACTGAAAAACGTTCATTTGCTAACAACTATCGTAATACGAACACAGTCCTAACATTCGATGCGTGTAAAATAAGTAATATTATTTTCGAGACGAAAAAGACTGTCTTCGCATTTGAACAACTTCGATGAAGATTGTGATAAAATGTGAAATATTAAAAATGTTTATTTCTACGCGTTAAATATTACGAGGGAACTTTCCTCGATTAAATTTTAAAAACGGAATTTTATCTTATTTTTGTTACTTACTTTTGTTACTTATTATACTTAAAATTATGAAAAATTTGAGATTTTATTTGTATTTTCGCGTCATTTTCTCAGTTTGCATCTTCGAAGAAAATTCCTTCATACTCACGCAGTATTGAAAGATTAAAGTTCCCTTGTTGGATACGTATACTTTCACGTACAGGTCAGTACGATTCTTCTTACGGCATACTTGAAATATTTTAAATATTAAAAACATAAATTATTTTTTAATTTTTCTTAATAGTTTTTGTAATCAATATTAGAAAAAGTATTTTTAACTCATAATATAAAAATCCTTATCCTAAGAAGAATATAGAAATCGAAGATTGATATCAGTAACTCTCGAATGAAACTTATGCGAGAATTCGAAACAAGAAGAATTCGATATCTCGAATAGTTTTTTACAATGAGAGGGAAGTGCATAGATAAAACGAATCCATCATAATTGCCGTAATTCGAAAAATTTTCATCGACGTACATAAATATTTGAAGTTCGTATATATTTTATTATTTGTCGTATGAAATTACCAATATCTCGGTAATAATCTACGATACATCACGAATCACAAATGTTTCGTTATTTTTACGTATTGA